GACAAACATTATTTTTTCCCATCCATATGATTAATGAATTATTGATGAAAAAGAGACTAAGTGTCATGTGAATTAAAACTTTAAGGGAACTTAATGTAATTATATCAAAAACTGTAAAACTTGCTATATTTTCTTCAAATCTAAGGAAAAATCCGTGTAATTTACCCAAAACTAAAAAATAAATAAATAAAAAATACATCTCTTTTGATAATTAATTCCAGCTTTCAAAAAAAAAAAAATTTAAATACAAAAAAGTTACAAAATCAACACAAAAGGATGTGGCTATTTGAGTTTTTCTGCAGAAATGCTATGTACCAATAAAAAAGAATAATGATATAAAAACATAAAAACCTTACATAATGATGCAATATATTTGTATTCATACATTTTAAACCAAACAACCCATCAAAGGAACTTATTAATTCAAAAATATTATTTCCACATTATTCTCGTAGAATTTTATTTTTCATAGAAAATATCAAGAAAAATGTCTAAAATTTGAATGTGTACAAATTTAACATGGTGTGGTGCATACCACATTCTCAAAAATCTTATCAACATATTTCAAATTATGTATGCCCAAAAATGATATATTTTCCGAGTACGTAGGGTTATATTTTTTTACACCTAAACTTCCTCATTCTGGCCATCATGTCCACATTTGCCCAACTCATGTCGACATAATGGCACTATGTTGACCATAAATATCACATTGTTACACTATATAAGCCTCAAGAATGGTCATCATTAAGGCAAAGCCAATGGTCCATTTTGTTTTTGTTTTTTCTTGCGTATAGTACTAGAGCTCTCATTTCCATTTTTTCTCCTCTTCTTGTCAAAATTCATGTATGAGATGAAGTTGGATCTTTTGCCACAAGATTGCATAGGTTACATTCTATCATTTGCGTCTGCTCGTGATATCTGTCGGATGTCCCTTGTCTCCCCAGCTATGCGAGTGGCTTCTGAATCTGACATTCTATGGGAGAAATTTCTTCCTTTAGATTATGAGGAGGTTCTCTCAAGATTAGTCTCTCCAATTGTGTTCCTCCGCTCGAGCGGACTGTAAAACAGTGCAGAGAGATGCTGGATGCTCGGATTTCACGCTCGAGCGGCACTTCCCCCGCTCGAGCGGAAGTGCAAAATCTGGAAAACCCAGATTGCACCTCCAAGCTCAAACCAAGTTCAAAAGCATCAAAACTCGACCTCTTGGGCTAAATTTCCAGAAAACACTTGTAAACGTATAGAATATCATGGTTCAAAGCTTGATTTTGAGAAATCAAAGCCCAAGGGTGTTTAATTGAAACCCAATTTCAAACCAATTTCATGAACATGGAGAACATGCAAACATGCAAGAATTCAAATCAATTCAAAGCTTCAATTTGATGCTCTAAGGAGCCAATTGTTTCCAAAACATGATGAAATCATGGACTTAAACATAGTTGTGAACATGCATGTAACATTTTGCCATGAACTCAACTCAAAATCCAACAATACTAACATGCATGCAAAGATTGAGCTTCAATTCAACAACAATGAACCAAAACATGACTTAGTTTTACAATGAAACATGAATCATGCATGAACAAGATGAACAAGAGGGTAATTACTCTACCGTAGGTCTCCAATGCAAGACTAGGAGGTCAATTTAGCAATCTACACTTCAATTACCAAGCAATTCTTCAAGTTTCCAAGGAATTCAAGGTGAATTCACTCTAACTCCCTATCTCCCTCTCTCTAGTCGGTGGTGTGCTCAAAATCAACTGATGAAATGTGTATGTGTGAGTGTAATGAGAATCAAAGATGATCCAAGTAGTGGGCCACTTAAGTGGCATTAAGGTAATTAAGTCTAACTCTTTAATTAGCTTATTTTAATCTAATTTAATCATACCTAATCAGTTTTCAGATAAAAATACCATAAAATCACATTAATCATGATGATCATAAAATATCAATCAGTTCCCGGTTCGGCCGCCGATAAGGCCTTCAATTAGCAGTTTAAACATAAAACGTGAACAGATCAAATAAACAATCAAACAGATAGAATACAAATTAACATACACGCTCAGTTAATTCAGTTCCAGTTTTTCAGTCAGTCAGTTCAGTACTTTAACCAGTCCAATTATCAGTCATGATCAGTTCAGTTTAACGGTAATCGATGTTTATCGGTAATCAATCAGTCATTAATCGGTAAAAGTATGAGGGTTGTTACAGCTGTTCATTGTTGTTTCAGGATGTCCCTTCGGATGCCCTCCCAGATGACCATCTTAAGGCAAAAATTTATGAAACAATTGCACTGGCCGGTCGACCACCAGGTCGTCCGCCCGGTCAGCCACTTAAAGGGAAAAAAAGAAATTTACACTGACCGGTTGACCGGCCAGACATTCACTCAGTCATCCGTCCGGCCGATCGGTGTTCTAATAAAACTTCCAAAATCCTTCGTTTGAGCACTTGATATCAAATGAAACTTTTACTTAAATTTGATGAAAAAATTGATGCACTATTGGAGATGCTTTAATAACCACCTATTATATGATCATCATTTAAACACATAATAAAAATTAATTTGGTAAAAAAAAAATAAATGTCTAAAAGATTTATCAATTTTACATAATTTTATATTTAGGTAGAAATAATTTTTAAAAATATTTTTTTGACATTTATTTTTGTCAAATTAGTTCATATTTTATCAAATTGACGATTTTGCCTTTAAAATTAAGTAATGGTATCTTCAGTTGTCCTTATTTGGAACAAGATTCAAAATTTATGATCAAATATGTCACAATTGAAAAGTTAAGGACCAAAGTGACACGAGTCGCAAATTATAAGGACTGTTAGTGTAATTCGCCCTTTAACTAAATATTAAAAATAATAAAAAAAAAAACTTGAAAATATGGGACTTAACCTTGACTCATGAGCAGCGGTTTGTTGGGCGTCCTGTCGGCCTGCCCGTGAGCTCGTTTAAGGTAAATTCATTGGCAAGACTTCAGCCTAAGATTTTGACACACAAATCAGCCTTGCTTGTCGTGTCGAAAGAATAATCCCGCCCACAGGTTTGGATTCTATTTTCATTTGCCGAACTTATGCTGATTCTTACCTCATTTGTGCTTGTTAGTTTCATATAAAAATTTGCTCCAGTCATATTACAAGTTGATATTTCCGTTTTGCATATGAATAAAATACAAAATTTTAATCGGTTATTCCAAAGTTGGGATCCACATTTAAAATCCAGTATCAAATTTAAAATTTAGTGAAAAAGTTACTGTATGATGTTCCAACTGTTGCACCAAATCGATATCAAAATGAGATTTCACCAAACATTTCATCAAACTGAAAACAGGCGAAGTATTTCACCAAATCACTGTTACTGACCGTTGGGGTGATAACAACCGGTCGACCAGCCGGTTGACCAACCGGTCAACCAGTAAACGATTCAAACAGTTCAAAAAAAAGTTCAAACAGTTCAAAAAAATAATAATAATTTTCCTAACCGGTCGACCACCCGGTCGTCCCGGAAAAAGTTCAGAAAGTTCAACAAAAACGGTTCAGACAATTCAAAAAAAAAAAAATTTCACTCACCGGTCGACCACCTGGTTGTCCCGGGACAGATTTGGTGAAAGGTGAACCGTTGGAGCATCTGGTACTAGATTTGGTGAAATGAGTCATTTTTGACTCAGATTTGATGAAAAATCTGATTCATCGTTGGAGATACTCTAAATGGGTCAATATACCTTTTAGATAAGAGACTCATTATTTTATATCAATTAGAAGTTGTGTTTTATTTTGTTTATTGTTCAATGGTACCATAAAAATTTTAAAAAATTATACAAAAAATAAAAAAATTATGTGATAAATTTTAATTTTATGGCTTTAAGACAATAGGACAGGTCTGGTGATGTAGCAGCTGTAGCATTGGCGAGTCCATGGTCCTCACTGTCTATGCTGTCGCGTTCACGTGATTGGCAGCTGCGAACCCTTCCAGCCTTTGATCACCGCCATGCTAGCTACTAAACTGTTCTTGTCAGTGAGACTCCTTTGTAAAAAGACAAAATCACCCTTTGTTGTGCCCGTTATTTTAGTTTAAAGTCTACAAACAGAAGGGTCACTATGTCAATTAGCTTGACATGCATTTTATAATGATTTCTTGAGTTAAACTACTCAGATTTCTTATCATTGGACTCCTTTGTTTGTTAAAAATTATATTTGGGAAGACGACAATCACCTACCTTGTATGTTTCTGGCTCAACTACTGCAGACAGCTACCTTGAGCACATTAGTTTAAGAAAAATGTTTGGGGGCCCTAATTCTGTGGCTCAAATGTGGCTCAAATGGCCAAAACGACGTCGTTTTGGCCATTTTGATATTGTTTTGTACTCAAAACGACGTCGTTTTGGCTATTTGAGCCACATTTGAGCCACAGAATTTGGGCCCTCTACCATTGCTCTTAGTTTAATTGAACACAAACAAAAGGCTGTGCAATTGCAATCAAAATAAAAGTTGGCCAGGTATTTTAATGTTTGAAATGTAATTTTGACATATAATGATTGCAAAATTACACTGATGTATAGGGTAATCAAAACAGGTCAATATAGGGTAATTATACTGACCTGTTTTGAGATTTAGAGAAACATAATTTTGGCATATAATGACATTGAGATTGTTTGATATTTTAATTCATATAACACTTATCTCATTTTTATCAACGATTTGTTATTTATATATAGATTAAAAAATAATATTGTTATATATTTTAAATGAAAATGTATGTTTTATGTTATGTTATTTTTTTTCCCCACACCATTTAGATTAATTTGAGTCCATTTAACCTTACTAAAAAGAAGATTAGGGTAATTATGTCAAAATTGTGAGATTTACTGTATTTTTTTTAAACTTCAAGGGAGGTTAATATAATTTACCCTTAATAATAAGGAGATGGAGAAAATTTTGAATTAATTATATTTATGATTTAACTTAATTACAGTTGATTTTAATTAACCGAGCAGATTTTTACAACTGGAACCGTGTGAAGATCAGATATTGTGATGGGGCTTCTTTTGCTGGAGACGCTACGTTCGATAATGGGGTAAGTTGGAAAATTGCATTTGGAGAAGTGGGAAAAAAAATTATATATTTTATCACGGTGCAACTCTTCTAGTGTATCAGAGTTGCAAAACATAAAGTTTTGACTCATTACTAGCTTTTCTTTCACTATTTTTATTGAAAGAATTACAATTCAGTGGATTTTTGAAAAAATATTTACAAATATATAAAAATATTTAAAATTTTCATTATTAATATTTATAAAATTTACCATTTAAGTGTAATTTTTTCTGGAAAAATTACAACACAGTGGGACACAAGAAAAATATTATAAAAACATGTGGGGTGCAAGTCATTGAATAGAGGGGTGCAAGTGAAAAACTATGGAGTTGCAATTTTTATTTATTTATTTTTTATATCCCACTAAGATGTAATTCTCTCTCTCTTCTTCTTCTTCTTCTATATTTTTTTTTTCCCTCTCTCTTAAACCTACATTGAATTGTATTTTCCCATTTTTATTCTTGTTATTACATATGTGAGTGTTACTATTCTTTACCAAAAAAGTTTTGGGAAACATGCTTCATTAGTTCCACATCATTTTCTGTCATGCTTGACTTTCATCCTTTATTTCACTAAAATATTTTTGTTTTGAAAGGTTGGATTGTCTTTCAAAATGCTTATAATTGAAGGAAAACTCAATAGCTGCCCCACTTCTAGATACTTCTTGTCCTCTTCAACTTAGATCTAATACAGATAAATTATACTTTTCACCTTAGGCACCTGAATTTTACTTTAATTCCCCACTTTTTAATTACAATAATTAAACCCTTATATTTCACTTTCAATTTCAACATAGTTCTCTTCTCACTGCCAGAAAAATAAGATTTAAAAAAAAAAAATAAAATTTAGAGACAAAATCACTTTTTTAGGGACAAAATATTTTTGTCACTAAAAGTGTTATTATTTTATTTTTAGTTACAAAACTGAATATTCAGTGATAAATTACTAACCTTTTGAGATCAAAAGTTGTCTAAAACAAAAACCTTTTTGAGACCAAGTTATTTTGTCTCTAAAAATATATTTATTAGCGACATTTTCAAAATTTTGTTACTAAAGACTCTTTCTTTTTTTTAAACTTTTCGGGACGACCTTTTAGAGTTTGTCTTCACAATAACTAAAATTAGTCCCTAAATGTTTTTTTGTAACAAAATTTATGTTTATAGAGACCAAAAAAAAAAACCTTAATCTCCAAAACTCTTATATGTTATGTCAACTTGCATATTTAAAAGTGAAAGTACAAAATATGAAAGACTAAATTAGAAATTGAGTAAATTTTTTTTGTTTTAGTCAATTGATAAAAGAGAAATTAGAATTATGAAAAATATAACCTCAAATATTCCACTAACCTAACAATATTAGAAATTGTTAATCACCAAACCTAACAATCCACGACCAAGTTCAAACTCAACAATCACTATTAGCTACAGACAACCCTCGTAAGGGAGGAAAAATAAACTAAAATTAACCACTACAAATGGGTATTAAACTCATCTTCGTAAGACCTCAACCCGACAATTCACACCAAAAACAGTGCTACACACATCCATTAGGCCAAAAACTCTGATTAAATTTGCGTAAAAGTTAAAGAATGAAAAGTGTAAATTTATATTTTTTACATGCATATCTAATGTGAAATATATTTCTGTTTTATTTGTCAAGTTTTCTGACTTAGGCATCGGAAAGGTTTCCGGCACACACCCGCCAGCTAGCTCACGTTTGTGTTTTCAGGTGACAAAGCGACGTCGTACGGAGAAGCGTAGATCTGGTCAACAGGATTATACGAGGAGAATTATTTCCTCCCCGTACAATATCTATTGTGAAATATATTTCTGTTTTTAGATATATGCTTTTGAGTACTGTTTAGAAATGATAGATATTTCCTATAGTTATTGTTAAATTTCATGCTTATGATGATTAATAACTCCATGTCATCATGGAAAATCAAGACTTGCTATGCTATCATGGAAAGGAGTGAGACTCACTATCGAATGCCTTTTACTAGATCAAATATACCATGTTATGGATCCTTTTACTATATCAAATGCACCATAAATTTTCTTAGTATGATGATCACAATCCATATTATTTAATCAATGTTCTCATAAACCATATGGAAAAATTTTCAACAATCATTTTGAGAAAATGATCATTTAAAATTACCTGCCTAAAAAACTCACCTAGCATGTTTTACTTGCTAGGTAGATCCGTACTTCTTCTCCATTTGATTGTGTCCAATTTACAACATTTTTTCCCTCACAATTATAGTGGTCGTTTTCACATCTCTTTGATGAATCTTTCAGAGGGGAAGGGCAATTCTATTGACAATTTGACATAATGGCCATGGAGCAGGGAGTGATTTAATCAATTCTCAAAATTTTTGTTCTGACTATTAACTGAGCATATTCATTGTGTAAATGCAGACATCATTGCTTTACTTCAGAGGGCAAAGAATTTGGAAAGCGATAATTCTTGATCTTCTCCCTAAAGGCTTGCAAAATGCCAAAAAGGTATTTTAATTATCGATTTCATATATCATTCTAGATTTTTTTAATATAAGATATGAAGGGAGACAATATATCATTATTAATTGTTTGGAAAGTGTTAAATTAGTATATTTTTTGACTTTTTATTAAAAAACGTAAAATATAAATTGAATTGGAAGTGATGCGGTAGAGAGGTGATATAACTTAAATAAAATGATTGTAACTTAAATAAAATAATGTGTTAAAATAATATGTATTATTTTAATACATGCCAAATAACCGCTCAATAAAATGCTTACGTGGATTGGACTTATATTTATATTAGAGATCTTGATTCATAACTTCTTGTTGATTGTTATAAAATGCCTCACTTTTCTTCATTGGACCTTTACCCTTTTTATTTTTCTTTTATTATAATTTTGTCTTAATATAAATTTTCTTTTATATCTATTCCTATCCTTCCAAGCCCCAACCTCGTACCCTAATACGCTCACGAGTTTCGGTCGGCGCCCTCCTTCCCAGCTCCTTCTCACCACCATTGCCATCCAACCCGCCACCCCCCGTTAATCGTGAGGCCCCATTCTCGCCTCTCTCTTTCTTGCCATCGTTCGGCACCCACCCTGCCACATTCATCAATCGAAGGCTTTGCAAGGGTGGTTAGTGGCAATAAGAGGTGGGAGGGATCATTGGTGAGGGAAGGTGGGTTGGAGAGGGTGGAGCGGGGGTTGTAATGACAACCGTAGGTGAAGGTGGGGCGAAATGTTAAATAGGTTTGGGGGTGGTTAGGGGGATTGTCAGAGGTGGTGGACATGGTAGGGAAGGAGGGCTATCAGAGAAAAGGTGATGGTAAGTGAAGGGGTTTGCCCTGAGTTGTGGGATCACTCTGGTTTTTTGTTGATAAAAAAAAAGTAGCTCTGAGCTGTGGTGTGGGATCTCAATTTTAGAAGGCATTTGCTTCAGTGGGAGGTTGAGGAGAGCTATTCAGGATCACAAATGTGTTAGGAGCAGCCCCTGCATTAAGTTTGGGTGTCAAGGATAAACCAAGGTGGTTAGCATCCCAAACTGGTCAGTCCTTTGTTGCAACTCTTTATAGGCAGTGTGAATTGGCTTTTGGTGATTGTGTTAGCTATAGTAGATTGGTTTGGATTAATTATCTCCCTCCCAAAGTTCAATTCTTTGGGTGGCTAGCTTGGAAATATAGAGTCAAAACTTCTGTTTTTCTCCAAAGGATTGGAGTTCTAGATGAGAATGCTTCTACTTTGTGTGTCTTTTGTAAATCAGAGGAAGAGACTGTTGAACATGTGCTCATTTCATGGACTCTGGTTTGGAAGGTTTGGATTGGTCTATTGCAGTGGTGGGGAGTGTTATGGGTTGTGCCTGGTTCAGTCGTGTGTTTGCTGCAGCTAGAAACTGCCTCACGAAAGCTAAAAGGAGGATTTGGATTGCAATTCCTCTGGTTGCTCTTTGGTCTATTTGGAAGCATAGGAATGATATCTTGTTTAATAATATTCAACCAGATATGGGGGAGCTGCAGGATACAATCGTCATCAAATTAGTTATATGGCTGAGAGCTGCAACTAAGGACTAGTGGTTCACTATGAATGATTTTCTTTTCAATATTTTGCAGATTAGATCTTGTTTAGGTGGAAGGGTGTAATATTTGTTTTGTTTTTGGGGTTGTCTTGAGGTATATTGAGTTGGAGCACCTCTAACTCTTGGTGGAGGCTTTGGGGATGCACACGATGTCTTACTTTGGGTGCCAATTTAGATGGGATGCTTAGCTTTGACAATGATGCTGCTTTTCCCTAAGCTAGTTTGTATCTTTTCTCATCTAATAAAATTTCTTTGTTTGCCGTTCAAAAAAAAAAAAAAAAAAAAAAAAAAAAAAAAGTGAAGGGGGTTGCCGAGGTAAGTTGGTGGCAAGGGTAAGAGTGTAGAAATGGATATTTTTGGATTGTGGTGGATGTTTAAAGAAAAAACAAGTGGCGATCAATTTTGGTGGGTGGAGGTCCGAACTTAATGGCTGGGGGCATTTAGCAACACTAATTGCGTAAACGTCATGGTTTGGATTATCGATTGATGTTATTTAATGGCTCATTTTGGTAAGATACAGTGAAAATTAGCAAGTGTTTGCTGCAGATGAAAGTTTACCTAGAATCTTATCTTGTAGCATCTCCAATTGATTCAATAATAACCCATTAGTGCCAGCCATTACATCTGATAACAAACACAAGTCTCCAATTTGTTAATTAGCTAACATGTTTGCAGAGTTCATAACTATGAAGAACCCAACAGCTAGCTAGCAGAGAGAGAGAGAGAGTTAAGTGACCATACCTATTATATATTAGAGTTTGGAGTCTCTCAACTTGGTCATTTCAACTTGAAAGAATGTTTAGGCTTGGTAAGCTCATTTTGGGCCGTTCTCGGTAATTCATACCATTTATTTTTTATTAGTTGTTGAGTAGAATATTCATAAAAAAAAATTGGTAATTCAAGCCATTTTTTATTATTACTTGTTGAGTAGAATATGCATTAAAAAAAAAAAAAAATATTAAGCTAATCAGATATCAATAATTATACGTTTGAATCATATTTGTATTGCAAAAAATGCATGGCTACTCCTGAACTTACAATTGTTGTCCATTTTTTTCAAAAGAACAAATGTGATTAAAACATATAGCTACTAATATCAAATCATCTTAATGTTTAAGATGAAACGCTCTGTCAAGTTAGACGACAAGCTTGACAGTATCCAATCCCATATATTGATATACATTAAAGTAGACCCCTACACTTATGTAAAATACACTTTAACATATACCTCAATTACACTATTGGAGCACACACTCACTATCTAAACTAAAAAACATTTAACATCCAAATTTGGGCCTACTTTGGTGACATTTTGTCATATAACACACTTTGACATACATTTTTATCTATTCCACTAGAGATGCTCTTAGAGAAACAAATATAGCTTGTCTGAGAGCCTTCATGGTATGCACGTTTTACTTTAAAGTAAAGCAGATGGCCAAACTGTAATTGTTATTTTTCTCTAGGCATTGCTTTCAGGGTGCTCTGCTGGAGGTTTAGCATGTTTTTTGCACTGCGACAACTTTACCAGTTATCTACCATTGAATGCTAGTGTGAAATGCTTAAGTGATGCTGGATTTTTTTTAGATGTGTAAGTACTGTCCTTCAAATGGAAATTTAATCTGTAATTTTGTATCCTATCTTTCCCTCTTTTAAAAATTAATTTTTGGCCTTTTCTTTGCAGAAGAGACATAAGTTTGAATCACACTATTAGATCCTTCTATAGCGATCTTATTTCTTTACAGGTAAATCTTTCCATATGAAGAAGTAAGTATTGTAATGGTTCCAGTTGATATAATAGTAGGTGCTTACATGATATGGATAATAAATTTCGATTATTCTATTTCTGTGAAGCATTACTATCCAATTATAGTTTACTCTATGGAAAATGACACTAGTAAACAAATGCCTCATTTGAATGTACAAGATATCATAATCCAAACCGCCTTAGTAACGACTACTCCCCCTATAGTAAGCAGTGGCAGCCCAATACTATCGGGGCCTTGGGTGAAATCTCAAATAGGACTCTTATATATATATATGAATAATATTTATTAATTTATTACATTGTAATTTTTTATTCTATCATTCATTTTCCTTGCATATCTATTTTAGTAATTAAGTGGTGTTTACTGTTTTCACCATAGGGATCTTTCGACGAGGAACAATTTTTTTTTTTTTATTGGGCTTTTATGTAAGAATTTGTTTTCCTTTTTCATTGGGCCTTTTGGATAAGAAGTGTTTTATTAAGTTTTTATTATTGGGGCTCATGAACAAGAAGAACTCTTACTTTGTTGGGCCTTTGGATGAAGATTTTTTATTTATTTTTTGGTGGGTTATTGAACAAAGAGGGGTAGAGTTTTTACATATGGAAGGCCTTGAAACAAGGAGTTTATTTTGTTTTATTTTTTCAATAAAACCTCAGAAAAGAGAGGATAAAATTTTGTGGCTTTAGAAGATTACCTTACTCACCTAAGGGATGTGCTGACACTAGAAGTTAACAAATGATCTAACCTCCAGGTCCCTTGAGAGACTCAAATTTGAGGTCTTGAATCTTATCTTTTAAGTTTTTACCACTCGGCTAATTCCTTAGAGTTACTGAAGGTAGACTTAGGTGATGGTAAACAAAATGTTGTGGTTTGCCCTGCTCATCACTCATGCCTGCTCTCGTGTTTCGATTTCTTGTGTTGTGTTCATTTATGGCCCACAATCTAACTTGTTTATGTTTTCTTATGCCTTGAAAACAATGAAAGAAAGTCCCATGTCACATGGTAAAAAAATAATGTGCAATATATAACCATGAGGGTCTTCTCACCTCAAATAGATAGCTTTTGGGGTTGAGTTCTATCTAAGACAATGTAGCATGGTATCAGAGCTAAAATACTGCGGGATGGGTTGGATGCTTTGGCAAGCCATATGCCATTGCCAATTCCACCATACCATCTTTGTTTAAAGAAGGTTTTATTTCTTTTTGTTCTTCTTTTATGGAATTTACTGTGCATTTCAGCAAAGTGAAAACTAGCGAGGTTGCACCAAATTTGCCTTCAGAAGCTATTAAACACTTCCTATTAAATTTCTACTGCATTTGATGTTTTTCATCATTGTCACCGTTGTTATGTGTGAAAAAATTGTTTGACAGGGTGTAGAACAAAATCTAGACAAAAATTGCACAGGTTCTCTTTATTGTCCAAAACAAGTACGATTTCTAATGTGCTTCTTTTTGTTCCTTGACTCAACTTAAAAACACAACTTTGCTTGGCATGGTTTTGACATGATTTTTTTGGCAGTGTTTCTTTCCGCAGTATGCGTTAAAATACATCAGGACACCATTTTTCATCTTAAACTCAGCATATGATGTGTACCAAGTAAGATAAATTAAAGTCCTATGACATATATTTTTTCAGTGCTTCTGAGGTAATAGTGAAAAATGAGTACTACTTTCTTATCACAGTTCCATCACATATTGGTGCCACCTTCTGCTGATTTGAGTGGGCATTGGAATCATTGTAAGCTTAATCCGGCGGCATGTAATACAAACCAGACAAATATCTTGCAAGGTTATTTTTTGTCCTTACATTCTTAAATTTCAATTGCTTTCGATATTCTTTTCTAAAATTTCTTTTTTCTTTTCATTTTTATTTTTTAATGATGATTATCTTCAATTTAGAGAGCATACCTCTCATATTAAATATAAAACTTTCATAAATTTTGCATGTAATTTTTAATATGTGTTATCCTTTATGATAGACATGTTTATTAAAATTTCTATTCTTCAGGGTTCCGGAAAGATATGCTTGCAGCTTTGAGTTTATTTTTTAAATACTCAAAAAGAGGAGGGATGTTCATAAACTCATGTTTTGCGCATTGCCAAAGTGAGTCACAAGATACATGGCTAACATCAGACTCCCCTAGAGTGCACAATAAGGTTTACAAACTAGCCCCGAGACATAAGTTTGAATCACACTATTAGATCCTTCTATAGCGATCTTATTTCTTTACAGGTAAATCTTTCCATATGAAGAAGTAAGTATTGTAATGGTTCCAGTTGATATAATAGTAGGTGCTTACATGATATGGATAATAAATTTCGATTATTCTATTTCTGTGAAGCATTACTATCCAATTATAGTTTACTCTATGGAAAATGACACTAGTAAACAAATGCCTCATTTGAATGTACAAGATATCATAATCCAAACCACCTTAGTAACGACTGCTCCCCCTATAGTAAGCAGTGGCAGCCCAATACTATCGGGGCCTTGGGTGAAATCTCAAATAGGACTCTTATATATATATATATAATATTTATTAATTTATTACATTGTAATTTTTTATTCTATCATTCATTTTCCTTGAATATCTATTTTAGTAATTAATTGGTGTTTACTGTTTTCACCATAGGGATCTTTCAACGAGGAACAAATTTTTTTTTATTGGGCTTTTATGTAAGAATTTGTTTTCCTTTTTCATTGGGCCTTTTGGATAAGAAGTGTTTTATTAAGTTTTTATTATTGGGGCTCATGAACAAGAAGAACTTTTACTTTGTGGCTTTAGAAGATTACCTTACTCACCTAAGGGATGTGCTGACACTAGAAGTTAACAAATGATCTAACCTCCAGGTCCCTTGAGAGACTCAAATTTGAGGTCTTGAATCTTATCTTTTAAGTTTTTACCACTCGGCTAATTCCTTAGAGTAACTGAAGGTAGACTTATGTGATGATAAACAAAATGTTGTGGTTTGCCCTGCTCATCACTCATGCCTGCTCTCGTGTTTCGATTTCTTGTGTTGTGTTCATTTATGGCCCACAATCTAACTTGTTTATGTTTTCTTATGCCTTGAAAACAATGAAAGAAAGTCCCATGTCACATGGTAAAAAAATAATGTGCAATATATAACCATGAGGGTCTTCTCACCTCAAATAGATAGCTTTTGGGGTTGAGTTCTATCTAAGACAATGTAGCATGGTATCAGAGCTAAAATACTGCGGGATGGGTTGGATGCTTTGGCAAGCCATATGCCATTGCCAATTCCACCATACCATCTTTGTTTAAAGAAGGTTTTATTTCTTTTTGTTCTTCTTTTATGGAATTTATTGTGCATTTCAGCAAAGTGAAAACTAGCGAGGTTGCACCAAATTTGCCTTTAGAAGCTATTAAACACTTCCTATTAAATTTCTACTGCATTTGATGTTTTTCATCGTTGTCATCGTTGTTTATGTGTGAAAAAATTCTAGTTTGAGAGTAGCTCCTTATGAGGCTTTGTATGAGAGGAAGTGTAGGTCTCCTTTGTGTTGGTATGAGGTTGGTGAAAGGCAAATGTTGGGACCTGATTTGGTGGAGGATGCTACAGTATCCTTTGCCACGCATTGATGATCTATTTGACCAGTTGCAGGGAGCTCAAGTATTCTCTAAAATTGACTTGAGGTCAGGCTATCACCAGTTGAAGGTAAGGGATGAGGATGTTCCTAAGACTGCTTTTAGAACCCGCTATGGGCATTATGAGTTCTTGGTGATGCCTTTTGGTC